TTATATATATATATATATATATATATATATAGAGAGAGAGAGAGAGAGAGAGAGAGCACAAATAAGATAAGATTTAAACTTTATTACTTCGAAAAAGAACTCTCTCAGAAACTTAATCCTAATGATGGATGAGATCTACTAATGGCTTTCACCATTGCTAACAATGCGTAAGTGGCTGAAATATATTCACCAGTCATCGTCTAGATTATCAACAGTGAGTGGCTATTTCTTGATGTAACAGAGTGAACTATTGGTGATCACAAACTAGTGGTCCATTAATGTCATAATCTTTGAACAAAGGTTTAATGATCAGCCAAACAAACATTAACCTTTTTCTCTTTTTTTCCTCTATATTATGTCAAGTGGACGTGCAAATTGCGTTGAGGTTTAAACAAAGAAAAGGAGCGACTTTGCTTGAGATACAGTATGAGAGTCACTAAGGAACTCCAAATACTGATCAATTTTAGCATTCTTTTGTACTCCAATATCATCACTTATTATAATTTGAAATGTTAAATGCCAAGAAATCTTCAGTGAGAGAAAACTAAATTGGAAAAAAGAAAATCTTGATTCCAAGTGGAAGTCATGATTTCTCCTCTATATATATATATAAAAAGGGTCAGCTATCTAAAGTCTCTCCCAATCTTGCAAGTGATTGAATCAAGAGGTTTCGAATCTATATTTATGAAATTTCAGATTATTATAGATAGAAATTAAATCGCCAGCCTTAGTTGAGGGTTTCTAAGTTTCAAAACATAGAAATTAAATTTTAAAAATAATTTTATATTGAGAAGATAGTCAATCCATACACAAATGAACGAACGAAAGAGATGTCACAAAAATATGAATAGAAAAGAAGAAAAAAAGAAAAAGAATTAATTAATTTATCAGCTTAATTCTTTTTTGCCTTTGCTCACTCTTTTGTTAATTTTGGTTTTGATATGATGATGAAAAATTGTAACTCGCGGAATCAAAGTCAAACCGACAACGATTGACGTGCATATGATATGTAGAAGTTGGACTTTTTGGCGCAATAAAGAACAAAAGAGGTCAAAGGAATGGGGACAAACAAAAGTGCATGGCGTCTCTTCTGCTGCTGCTGCTGCTGCTGCTTGGAAGAGGGGGTGGCGACATGGAGTTCTTCGAGCCACACGGCTAAATAATTGCAAGAAATCTGGCAGCATCGTGTATGAGCACGCTGCGGCTTCTCTCTTCCGTCCTCGGTATGTGGCTTCGAGGCATCCTCGTCTCCTTGCCAGCCATTCGTGACACCACCGTCCTTAAACGCGACTGTGTGTCGTTTTATCAGCATGCAAAGCACGCGCAGCAACCATCCATCCAAGTCATGGTTACGTATACAACAGTCGTCGTCCTCGCCTTCTGAGGCACGCGTCTTCTCTCTCTTCCACTGTAGTGAAGACGATGCGAGAACGAAGCGCAGTAAGTGCTTTGAATACAGTTTCATGCTTTAATTTAGTTGTGTGAACAATACTAGCATGATTGATTGTTGTTCTGTATAAAGTATTTATTGACTGCCTTAATATAAATGATGAGGCCACGACTGATGGTGTCCTGATATTACTCAGAAAAGGCTTTACAGGAATTGTATCCATTTTATTCGATTGATGCTTGCTTGAGATTCCAAACAACTTGGGGAGAGATCATCAATAGGAATTATGCTCCTCCTTGGACACTTTTGAATCGTAATTAATGAATGATACATTGTGGTCTCGGATTCTTTTGATGATCGTTGTGCTATCCATATCGTAAGAAAGGGAACCTAAAGATGACGCCGATATACAACAATGTTGTCCATTGGACGACAAATTTTGATAGTATGAAATAGATATTTCTGTTTTTGGAACAAAAAAAATATCAAGATATTTCACCCGTATGGGCATTATTTGTATTAGTCAAAATTTCTTCTGTTTTTTCCCCATTTTTATAAGTTAAGTTGAGGCTTTATTTGATAGACTACTCAAGGGTGCGGTTACAATTATCATACACCCTTTCAACCCTAGAAAAATGATGGTTATAAATCTACCCCAGCATTTAAACTTTATGAACTAAAGCTAAACAAAATTAAACCGTTAAAGTTTATGAACTAAAGAACTATTACTCTTTATATTTATATCCTATTAACATTATAGTTCTTATATTAAAAAAAATTATATTAGAATCTTTATAATTCTAAAAATAAAACAAATAATCCTAACGTTTGCCTGTTATATTTATAAAAAATATATAATATTAAATCGACACAAAAGTGATGGATAAAATAATAATTTCAATATCCCTTTTATTTTTAATACATGAAATCTTAAAATTAATTTTTTTATTAATAAAATCACTGAAAATTAAAAATATTATATGTTATATTTTCCGTCAATAAAACTATTGATGTTAGGATAAATAAAATATTTATATTTTTTAAAATTAAAATAAATAAAATATTTATATTTTTTAAAAATTATATGAATCTTAATATAAATTTTTTAAATATAAAAACCATGATGCTAATAAAAACCAAAAAGGAGATGCTGGTCAAGAAAATATTCTACCAAAACATTTCCAACATTTACTGTGTTTAAAAGCTAACAGATCTCTGATTCTCAATCTGGTATTACAAAACCTGCAGAACGTTTCACTTTTCATCAGTGCAATCACTCAGTTAAAGATCGGAGCAATTATAAGCCAAAAAAAAAAGTTAAGCACATAATGCAATACCATCGAAAACTGTTGGCACTGAAAAGATCCCAAGCAAAAATAGTAAGTTTATGATAAAATCTTGAGACAGAAGACAGAATGAGAACGTGCATCCCGGAAGAGTAGGTTCATGAATCAATGTCCCTCTTATGTCGATAACCCTGTGCATCTCAAGTTACATTTATCCATTGACAAGATGCATATACATTTTAAGGAGAAAACAAAATGATTCTACATTTATCATTGATTTGGATCGACCAGATACATTTTAAGCAACCCAGTTCCAGTGACAAGAACCGATCACCCAAGTTAAAACTGGTGCCAAGATTCATTATCATTTGTTAACCACATCAAAAATTTATTATAAAATGAATCAATTCATTGAACTATTGTTTAAATGTACATGGGGCAGATGGTCAGAGGTCAAACTCCAAACACTCGTATGCACAGTTCTCAATGAAAAAACATCAAGAATAATAGTAGAGCTGCCGTGCTGTTGCCAAATCATACAGCCATGTCCAACCTGAAACAGAGGGAAATGTAAAATTAATGTCAGCAAATAATAAGACATACAATCTGCATGTCTGGTAAGCTACTGCAGCCACAAATGCAGTGGTTGTCTCATATATGATGAACATAAAAACTGTTGAACCGAAATTACCACTAGTCTGAGCATATAAAACGAGTGCGATAAGCCACATAAGATGCATCAACTTCTTTCAGGTACCACAAGGTAGTTAATTCAGTTTAAACTTTTAACATAATCATATAGCGTGATTATGAAATCCTTTTTACAAAGAAATTTCAAATATTTACCTCAGTTGCCCATAGCTTAGTTATTGCTTGCTTCTTTTTCCCCCCAAAACAGATGTTTATATGTTAGTTCATTAATCTGCCATTTGATTCTGTGGAAGTTTGTTTGAAGAAATTTTCTTTTCTACTCAAATATTTAGAAATGTTTAAAGAAAAACTTCTGTGTCCAAATTTTCTTTGACTAACCAAATTTTTTTCTCCCATTACGGTAGTATTTTCAGGGGAAAAAAGTTTATGGCCATGTGTGAAATGTAATTAAATGACACGTTTCTCAATTGACCAAACAACTAATGATTCCCATCTTTCTTTTCTATAACACAAAAAGTTCTAATCTTTTTAACTTTCAAGGGTATCAAACAGAACATAAGTGTTCATGTAGCTGGCACAGATGATCCATGGTTCCAAATTTTATAATACTAAATAGTCAATGCATGCAGGCCATGTATTCGCGTTTGGAACATTCCATAAAAAATATTCCATGAAGCTGCAAGAAAGATGAGTACTCAATTTTACAAACAGTCAATGTCATCAAATAAGAAACATCAAATTGTTAGGTTTTTTAAACTTGTGAAATGCTTGAACAGGAAAAACTTGAATAAAATCAGGAGTGTCCACCATTACCCAATATGATAGTGGTAACTCAATCTAAAGGCAATGACTTAATTTCAACAATAAAACCAAGAAGGTTACAGTTATGAAATCAGACATACAGCATCTTCAATATTGATCAATAAAATACTCAAGTCTGATAACCCACTTTTGCTTGTTATCTTTGAGACTCTAGCCACTGTCAAGAAGACGGTTTTTTTACCAGATTAATGCCCGAAGTGAATAAGTCAACTCATAAATGGCTTAAATCCATAACCCATATCTTTTTTTAATGTGCTTATGCCCTTGAGTCCTTGCACTTGCTCACCGGTAAAACGTGTTACGAGTTCAATTTCTTTGATAATTGGTATAAAGGAGCCTGGTTGGTGGAAGGTCATGACCTTGGTAAAACTGAGGCTAGACATCTAAGAAGCATAATTGGTACTGCTCCTTGGTTTCTGTGGCTTAATCGCAATGATTCCTTACACTGCAACTCAAAATCTAGGCTCTTTCTCCTATGGTGCAAGGTAATCGCTACCACGAATGACTACTGCTCCAATCTAGGTAAATCTGAGGGTCCCCCTGGAAAACATAGATGCTCAGCTCAGGCCAGATACACTGGTAAGTTATGATTTCTTCATAGAATGTGATGGCTCCTTACACCATTCTACGTCCTCTGCAGGTTCAGGCTACATCATAAAAGATGCCCCGAAACCTAGGCTATCTTTGAGGGCCTCTTTAAGACCCTTTTGGTGAAATCTGATGCACTTGAAGTCAGTGATTGAAAAAGGCGCTCGGGCGCTCGCCTAGGCGCTCAGGCGAGGCGAGGCGAGGCCCGAGCGCCTCGCTAATGTCCCAGGCGACGCGCTTCAAACAGGCGCCGCCTGGGCGCTCGCCCAAGCCCAGGCGCTGGGCGCTTTGGGCGAGCGCCTAGGTAAACCAAGACCGAACCAGGATTTTAGGTCTGGTTCGGTCCTGGTTCGGTTGTTAGTTGGTTCAATCGAACCAACTAAACCGATATAACCCTTACCCAACCCTAACCCGCCGCCGCTGCCGCTCTCGATTCCGATCTCGCTGCTCGTCGCTCCTGCTCCCGCTGCCGCTGCTCGCCGCTGTCGCTGCTCACGCCTCCCGCGAGCCCTCCCGCCGCTCGCGCCTCTCGCGAGCCCTCCTGCGAGCCTTCCCGCTGCTCGCGACTCCCGCGAGCCCTCCCGCTGCTCGCGCCTCCCACGAGCCCTCCCGCTGCTCGCGCCTCCCGCTCCCTTTCCCTTTCCCACTGCCGCCGCCCGCCGCTGCTTCGCGCGAGCCCTCCCGCTGCTTGCGCCTCCCGCTCCCTTTCCCTTTCCCACTGCAGCTGCCGCCGCCACTCGCCGCTGCTTCCCGCGAACCCTCCCGCTGCTCGCGCCTCCTGCTCCCTTTCCCTTTCCCGCTGCCGCTACCGCCGCTCGCCGCTGCCACCACTCGTCGCTGCTTCCTCGTTTCTCCGTCACAATATACTCTTAATATTAAGTTTATCTGAATTTTAAAATGATTTTCTTAATTTAATAGCATATTTTTATTTAAAATTATAAATAATTATATTTATTAATTATATTATATATTTTTATATTTTAGCGCCTCGCTTCGCTCGGGCGAGCGCCTAGCGCCTAGCGCCTTGGGCGTTTTTAGACCTTGGCGCCTTTTGGCGCCTGGCGCTTTTTAAATCACTGCTTGAAGTCATCAATTGGCTCAATGGAACCTCTATTGCACCTTGGGCCCTCTCCTCTCAAACTGATGATATCTGTTTGCTGGCTTCACACCATAAGGCATCATTTGTTCAATAAAAATACAGAGAAAAACCTTTCGGCACATACGGTTGCAAATTTTCGGAGTGGAACACTTGGTCCACTCATGGGAAGCTAAAGTCAGCTCCTTTTTTGTATCTGGAAACAGGCTTCCACCTATTTTGGCTAGTTAATTGAACTTGATTCTTTTTTCTGAAAAAAATAAATGGCTTAAATAGTAAATATTTAAGTCACAAGGCAGTTCAAGCATAAATGTGACTATTTGGCACAGATCCCAAATGATCATATTGGGCCTATAAATGCCAAAAAACACATGTACAGGACAAAGGACAAGGTAGCAAGTCCCCAGCCATCATAGGTGAATATCACTAGGTAGTACTTCAATCATTCAATTTAATAAATCAAAAAGTGCTTTTAAGTAGATCAAACATTCTTGTACCCATGGAACAGACCTCACCCATAAAGCTTAAATACATTCTAACGTTGGAAACATGTCAACAACATTTTCCCTGACACTGACAAGAATATTAGAAGTGCTTCTTCTGAAACAAAAGCCCACTTCGCATTTGCAAATTATGTGCAAGTATAAAGGCTATAAGTTCCAAGTCTCTGGAGGTTCTATCAATCAGCCAGCAAATTTTTTTAGCATATTAGAAAGTTGTGATGGTAATAAATTTTGGACAATAGAAGCTGGGTCTCTTTGATAGTAGAACTTGCAGAGCAGTGAAGAGTTCCAATTTTCATAGACAACATCAATTTTAGCCTTAGACTAAATTAGAAAAACAATGGACTGAGAACATTTAGTAGTAATTGTTGAGATTGAGTGAACATTTTGCTTCTTTTTTTTTGTTTGCTTTCTCGGGCTTCTACCCATTTCCTGGTTTACTTCCAGTATTCCACCAAACAGCTTAACAACATTACCCAAAAAAATAAGCTCTTTCTTTCTCTGTTTTTAAATGTTTCCTACTACTAGTCAATTCATAAGAATTTTTAACATAAATATTTTACCTTCTGAACTCTTTGCTTGGAGTCTGATGGCAACATCAACTAAACTGTAGTACTCCTTGCCCCCAGCTATGTTAGTATAAACAACAATATTACAGATGTCGCCTATGACAAGCAAAAAATCAGAAGTCAATACTATGTGAAAGAATGAAGATTAAAATGGAATTTTTCAGCTACCCTTAGGAAAACTTTAGCAAAAGCTTCGTGTATGAAAATGTACAAACTAGATACAAGTCAATATTAATCCGCCTCATTCATAAAAAAAAAAGAACCCAAAAGAATTGCAAACAAGAATATTAAATGATTGCATTACAGACAGAATTTAAACCAAAGGAAAAACAAACTCAAACAGATAGTAAGAATAAACAAAGAGTTAAACATAGATTTGAGAACATCACATACCAGAATAGGTAGTCAGTTGTGCTCGGCCTTGTAGAATTAAAAAAGGAGATATTTGGCACTTTGTACCAAACTGCCTCAACATAAAGCATTTCATATATGTACCAGTTCCAAACTTCCAGATACTTTGAAGTGGCTGAAGAGAAGGCCTTGAAGATAAGGTAAATCCATAACATGTCAATTTATTCAACCATGAAACTATTGCTGCCCAGATTCATCTGGAGAAAGACATAAGCAAATTCTTCTGGAGAAAGACATATGCCCTTGTGTCTTGCATAGTTGTCACCTTGTGCTGGGGCAGACTAGTAAGAAACCCAATTTGGATCTCATATCTCTAATGCTGTTGGTTGATGGCTAAGACCTTATCAGTGTCTAAAACAACAAAGACTGCAAAAAATACTTTACAAAAATTTGCATGCTGACCACTGTGTACATATCTTCCAGGAAATGAACCATCAGGATAACATAATGTCCTATCAGAAAAGTCAAAATCCCACTGATCACTATTTTTCACCCCAGCATGTCCACGTAGCAGAGACTGCAAAAGAAGAGACATAATCTAAAGTTCCCATTCACAAAGAGTTCTTCCCTTGTCTCGAACTTCTAACGACCGATGCACTCCAATGAAAGTCGTACAAATCGCAACAACTCTTCTACGTTGTGAAAGTTGAAATCAAGAACCTTTCTTACAGAAGATAAGCAGCCTGTCCTGTCCTTTCTTGGGCTTACACTAGCAGCTGCAAAAGCAGCTTCCGATTTCCTAGTTGCTTCGAATGCACAATTTAGATAATTTGTCTGCAACAATGACATTCAAGAGAATCTTTATATAAAAAAAGCAAAGAAAATTAAGCCACAATTTGTGTAACTAGTATCCGTGAATTTTACATTGAAAGAAAAAAAACCAATATGTTTCATATGTTTGGTGACTAAAAAAAATGGTAGTAATAACTATAATATTATACTCATATATGGTCTACAGGACACTAGATTGAATCATAATAGTGTATACTAACTAGCCATTAAAAACAATAAAAAATGTCAAAACAACTAAAAATAGAGAAGTCTTCTAATTAGAATAAGTAAAATAAGGCTGATGTGAACTTGTCTGCCAGCAATGGACTTAGACTGTTTTAGATGCTCAAAACCAATTTAAACCAAAACTAATTTCTACCTGTATTATAGTCCATAACCCTTTTTTTATAAAAACAACCTCCGGTAACTGTCAAATTCCTATGTATCACCCATGACATGGTGCTTTGAGACCTGTTTCTTGGCTGAAAATGCCCTAAATAGGTTGGTCCAACCTAAAGTTCACCTGGGGGGCCAAGTAAGATCCAAGAAGGGTCAGCCAGGCCTGGGTTTGGTTTAGTTCTTTCATAATTGACCTTAAACATGTCAGAACAGATGTTGAGAAAGACTAAATCTTCAATTAAATTAGCTGTTGAATACGATTCACGAATAAAGATATAGATTAAGTCAATAACTCAAATGTGGCTATCTTTTCCGATTGTGTTATGGGTAAAATAGCTCATCTTAAACCTCCACTACAATTTTGAATACGCCCAATATGGTTCGTTGTGGCTAGTATTTACCAATCTAGCAACCTATAAGCGGACTAGGGTAAACCAGATGGTTCAAGCCCAGTACAAGGTGCACTGCCAAGTATGGGTCTTGTACCACCCGTTAGGCCATGTAGCAACTAGCAAGTAGTACATTAAACTCTCACTGATGTGACTACACAACTAGCCATTCGTTAGCCGTTAGGGCTGTGCTTGGTGGCTAAAACAGCCCCCACATGCACCTTTCTTGTATTAACTATCTATCTCGCTCTCTCTCTTTCTCACTCCCATTCTCTTTGAAATTTCTCTCCAAATTCACCTAATTCTCGCTCAACTCTCTCAACTACCACGAGGATCATTCATGCAGATGAGGTGACAATTGTTAACACCATGTTGCATTAATAACACAGTATTTCCCACTATCATATGTTGTGAGAACAGTTCCATGTATGGATCTTGCAAACACACTGTATTGATCTGAAGTTTCATGAGATCAAGGACCTCAATCCACTTGTCATGGACTCACGTCCATCATCTTGTGGTAAGAGCAGGGATATGCTTTGGTTTCTCATGTAATTTATCATTCTCATATGTTAGTTAGAACTTTTTTTTTGGTACATGTAATATTTACGTTCTGCTTTCGAGCCTTATCTGACATATGTTTTGATTTTATATTTTATCATCTTATGAACTAAAATCACTTCATTGTCATCAATATCTGCTGTAATTTCCAAGAATAGGTGAGAAACAATCCTAAAATCGAAGTTCTTCAATTTTTCCCTGGTTTGGATTTTGTGCCTCAAGATGTATAAGCATATAAAGTATCGTTATGGGTCTGGTACCACAAATTGAAGTTCCTTCCCTCCAATATCAAGTGACCAAGGAAATTTAAGGCCAGATTAGGTCCAGTACATTTCTGGACTAATCTGATTCAGGTTGGGCAACAGGTGCATCATACCATATTCCTCAAGCATCCAAAAAAGCATATGAGCTTTATAATGACTAGTCAAACAAAAAAAAAATCAGATACTTTGATGATGTATCCAACATGTGTCCTAAAAATATTGCATCCTGTATATATCTGGCATAGACACAAGAAGCAGTTGTTAGAAATATCAACATTTTATAAATAGCAGCAATCAAACAGGTCCACTTGAAGTTTAATTAAGAAAGGTTTGCGGCGAGCTATTACAATGTCAATAGTTTTTAGGTTAGAGTTGTTCCTGTTGCTACCAAAAGTAAATTGGTTCTCCGTTGGCACAGGAAAAAAACATCCATTCTGCTTCTATTTTTCTGTGTTGATAATCTTTTCTTCTCATTATTCTTTATTACTTCTTTCTATTTCTTTTACTCTGCTTTTAATATGCTAAAAGCATATATTTGGTGATTTATGTTGCTTAGGACAGAAAAAAAAAAGGCCCTATGCGCTGCTTATTAAATGTAAACCCCCTGAATCGAAAATCTTAGACCAAACAATTTCGAGCAAATTGGGGAATCTGTTGCAATCATTTAGGTTTACGTGAAGAGCCATAAGACATTAAGTGAAGACAAAGATGTAATTAGCTTCGAACTGTCAATTCTTAGATGCAACAAAATCTTGACAAATTCCTTGTTGACTTCATAGGTCATAATCACCAAAACATCAACAAAAATCCGACAACTTACATAATGAAGCAACCGCACAACTTGATGATGATGGCGTGCAGCTATAACATGGTTGCCAGCAACTTGAGGAGAACTAACACCCTTGGCTGAAGCATTCTTACCTAATATAGCCTGATTGTTTAAATTATCAACATCTGACGAAGAAGAAGATGGTGATTCACCTAAAACACAAATCAAATAGTCAAAATCGGAGAATATTTGCTAATTAGCATGTGAGAAATCCACAAGTTGCACAAGGAGAACAAATATAAGCAAGAGAATATAACACAAATAAAGTACGAATATGAAAGTTTATCGGTAAAAAATCTATGCTGATATTGCACACAACAATTTCATTCTAAGTGTGCTTTGGATAGATGATACCCTTAAGCAATGAATACATAAACAGATTATGCCCTTAAACAATGATGAAGCAAGGAAAAAAGTTCATCACCATTACTGAGTGTATACACAGATGATGTCCTTAAAATCTGAAGTTTTCATGTTCAGCAGGCTCAAATGGAGTGAGACTACTCGAGATATGACTTGGTTGATAGTGTTTTGGACAATACACAGACACACACCAGAAAGAAATATTAAAAAGATATGAGTGAACAACGATTACACTTAACCAGCAAAACCAGTTTGAAAATAAAAATTCATAAAACTATGGACATGGTAAAACTTTATAGCAGTTTAAAATTTTATTGAGGAGGAAAAACCAGACATAAAATTTGCCTCTTTTGATACAGGTATTGCATATCTTGCTTGATTCTAATTTGTAATGCTAATAGTAGTAGAGTTGAATGGGATGTGCTTATGGATAGCTAGCAACAGTTAATTCACTCATTGTAGCCATGATGGACAAGAAATAAGAGTATATTTTCCAATAAGAACCTTAAAAACAAAATTCAAGAGATTACCAACTATTAGCCTGATGATTAAAACCTATGCAAGAAATTCTTAGAAATCCTACACAATTGATAACCTGGAGGAAGGATTTGAAAAGCTGATTGTAATTCATGCCGATCTTTGGTTGCATTAGGACTTTTACAGTATGTAGTCTTCAGATAGGCCACTTCCACACACTTGTATGCTAGAGAAACAGCAGCCATGATTTTTACCTTTTCATATTCATGAGCCACAAACCTGTTGAAAAGAAGTAAGCAGTATCAAAACAAAAAGACACCACAACATAGAACTTGAGCGGAAAAAATCTATTTTCTAGAAGGCGGTTTATTCATCCAAAAATGCACCACATTGGAAAGGGCCTATGAAGACATTATGCATGAATTTGCACACGCATCTGGAACATACATATCTACAAAATCCAACCACATATATAGACCTTTACATGTTTCTTAGAACTTATATAGACTAGATATTATTCCATGCGTTCTAATTTGGTTGCAGCATATATTTATGTGGTTATTTTTTAAATACATTTGTATACTTGATTATATATTCTAATATTTAAATTAAGTTGTGCATGCACTTGCATAAGAACCCAAATGCTGCATGAACACTGTCATACCTGGACTGCCTGCAGACAACAATGTCTAAATAGAGGCCTGAGAAGATCAAATTTTAGTCCAAAACTCCAACCCTTAAACTTCACTGGAGATGTAATTGAATATCATAACAAATAGCTTAGTTCTCACTATAATTTGCTAAATCTAATTGTTATTATCATCAGAACACATTGTCAAAGTTATTTATGGGCATAATTTTTATCATAAATCGCCAAAGAGGTCAAATTATGTTTTTGATATTGCTAAAAATTATTGAAACTTGCTAAAGTTTAATGTTTATTCCAATAACCACTTAGTATAAACACAGATCTCAGTTAAATTTTTAGACACGCACACATCACACACACACACAACCCCGCCACGCGCCCACCACACCACCACAAATAGAAAAGAAAATAAGGAAAAAAAGGTGTACAAAGAACAAAAGACTCACACTTCCATTTCATATCAACAATTGGCTATATCACACCAATAAAATCTTAGCTATTTGTGAAATGGGCAATACAGACTTATCACATGCCATACTGAATATTTACTATAGAAACTCCATTGTTGTTGGCTTTTTGCATGTTTCCTATGTGATACTCGTAAAAAAGTTGCAGTACCTAAGTATCAGAAAATAGCATGCCTTAGTCCTTAACCTCGGTAAACTACAACAGAAAATGTTTAAGATCCTTTTGCTAGTTATCAAGTAAATCAGAAATCACTCATCAACAAGAAGAAAACTCATCCATAAGAAGACAAAGAGAAACAAACTACCATCATCTCTAACTAAAAAATTGATTTTTGTTGATGTAAATAAGTCTTCCTCATTAATCATGCCAGCAGGAATCAAGAATCAAGTGTTTTTACATTACAGGTGCATTCAAGGCACAGATACTTGTGATGCATACAATTTGCAACACTAAGTACAAATAACCACGCTAACATCCTTGCTATGAGCCTATGATAGTACATAATAAAGATCCTACAACATTGCTTGTGTGAAAAGTAGAAGAATTTGGCTTGTTAAGACTTCTTATTTTCACAAAAGTGCTCCTTCCAGAGAGTCCATAAGAGTAAATCAATCACATTAAATCATATAACTTATGACATATTGAAATGAAAATAAAATAAACTATAAGGATGCTGGCCTAAACAAATGTCTCAAATATGTTAAAAGACCACCAAGGGCCTAACAGCAATGAACAAGAGACTACAAGTGACAGACAGTTGGTGTCAGTGATATATGAACTTTGTCAATGATTCATTAACAATAAAAGACCATCCTAACAGTTATCTATCATGATAACTTCAACTTACTCGCACAGTTTTGCTGTTTCAAAGTACATTTGTGCAGCTTCTGCTTGTTTAGCACTATCAAAATTAACAGGTTCCATGAGAGCAGCAACATGGAGAAACTTTAAAGCTGCCTCAAAGTACAGGCCAGTGCTCTCAAGTTCTAGTCCTTCACTCTGTGAAAAAATGCATTTGAGAAAGGCAAACAATTGTAGAATTATGTTGAAAGATAGAAAGGTGATATAACCTTTAAGCGATTGGCCGAGTGCTTCAGATCTCTTGCTTCTTTCAAAACAGCAGCACAATTTTCCTTTCTTAGTGGACTTGATGAATCAGATACAAAAGGAGTGGCATGTCTTAGATTATTATTGTGCAATCCATTGTGACAATCTTGTAATCTGTGTTGTTTGACCACCTTTGATGTATCAGAATTTACTGCATCAGCTACATCATCAGATCTACTCGCTTTAAGAGGTGAAGTGACCATATGACGACCCCGAGGCTGAGTATCTAGTTTATCACAAGAAAGTTTCAATTGTGACTTACCCAGTCCAGATGGTGGTTCTGGGCAATTGATCCTATCTAAATAAGGATGGTTCAGTGCTTTTTCATTGTGGAAAGAAGGTCCCACTTGAAAATCTGGTTTAACACATCTCGTTCCAACTGGTATTTTTGAGTCTAAATCCCTTTGTGGATTAGAGAACGAGGAGGGAACACCATCCATGTCTTCTTGCACTGCAGAAGTTGAGCTATTACCTCGCCTACCTGTCATATATTTCGAATTAGGATCTTTCTTCCCCAAGAATTCCTTTTCATCCTCTCCCTGGAAGTTGCCTTCTTCATTCCTCAAATCATCAGGACACACACAATGTTCACCAGAAACAAAGCTAGCCTCACGTCTGCCATTGCTGCCATTCTTTAAAGAATGCAAATCTTTGTGCTCATTATAGGAACCAGAAACCTTAAGCCTACTCTTATCCAAAACAGACTTAGAACCTCTATGTTTCTCTTTGAATCCTGAAGAATTCTTACCAGACTTTCGCTGACTAGAGTCATTCACTAGTTGGTGGCCGTTCACTTTACCCATGTCTTGGATATCATCCCTGTATGAATGTTTTCCAAGCTCAGCAGGTGAAGAATCATTCTGAGCACTCAGTTTCACATGCAACCTTTCTTCAGATTTGCCATCAGATGATTTATTTCTTTCCTTTCTGAGGTAGTCAGATGTTCCCTCCAAAGAATCTAGAATTCCAGAATTTGCTGCTTTATGAGTTTCTAAAGATTGTTGTTGAACAGAAAAGGGTTTCTTACCCTTTACAGAACGGCCACTTCCACCATCAAATTCACTATCCGAACATATTCTGGGTTTCCCCAAAGCAGGAAAACCAGAATTGGTGGCACCATTCCTTTGCTCCAAGATGCTTTTGTGTGATAATTTTTCAAAACTAGGAATCCTCAAAGGTGATGAAGAAACTGACTCAACGGGAGAACCCTTTGTTTCCTGAAGATTGGATCTACTTTTGCGGGAGCCTGAAACCTTTGAAGAACTTGAGTTAGCAGCCTCAGCTACTGGAGGCTGTGTAAACATGACATCTCTCTTCGAGGAATCAAAGTCCAGAGCCCTTTGAGATGCTATGTTCCCTTCGCTCTGACTGGATCGATGCTTTTTTTCCACCACATATGGGACCTCATTATCCATTCCAGACGTTAGATGCTCTCCACTGGCAGGCAGAATCATTTTGGTCATGTTACCTTTCGTATCCATCCTGTCATTTAGCTTAGTTGTTTTAGATCCCTTTCCTACAGACATTGTTAGCTCAGCCTTCTTGTCCCTTACAGGCTCTGCAGGACCAGGAGCTCGTTGAACAATAACCTCATTTTCTAACACATGCTTGGTAGTCACATGAACCTCCTCACCATGCTGACTTCCTTGCCGCTCCTTCCCTTTTTTCTTCTTAGTGGAAATGTCCATAATACTTAACTTATCTACATCTGAGGCTACAAAATGTTGCTTACTTTCCCCATTTGTGATGGATTGAACTTCATCCCCTAACTTCTTAGATGATGAGTAATTGCCATTCAAATCACATTTTGAGCCTTTGGACAAAGGAAAACTATTCCACCTAGGCTCATTATTAGCAATTACCTTATTTGAACTACCACCAATATCAGTTTCCACAAAAACCTTATCACCTACATCATGCTCAGAACAATCTTTGCTAGGATATTGCAAGCTTTCTTTCTTAGGTTTCTTAGGTGCTCTAAGATCATCTTGATCAACTTCTCTCTTGCTTTTTGATTTTGAATGTTTTTCAATTTTTCCACTATGATCACCTGAAAAACAAGAGAGATATAAGAGATAAAGTTTGTTCCTGTAGCCTACAAAGAATGGTAAGCAAAATGGTACCTCCATCTGAGTAGGAACCACGTTTTTTATGCTTATCTTTTTGCTTTGGCTTCTGCTTCTCTGCATTGAAGTCAGATGATCTGCTTGCATCACCAGGGACACCTTTGTTTGATGAGTTCAATTCAAAAGGAGGATACTGATTTGCATCATTTGAACTTCTAAATTTAACAGACGTGTGTTGATCCTTTTTCACAGAATTTGAAAACTGACTAGAAGTTGAATGTGGTAAATCTAAATCACACTTTAGTCCACTTTTCTTCTTAGCAACAGTAGGCACATTTGGAAAACCAGGTTCAAGATTCTGACCAAGATGCACTCCGCTGGCCCAAGACACATTAGTAGAAACGACATCATGATGGACATTTAAGCTAGCACTATTTTCTGGGGCAGGGACAAGATATAATGCACGTAGAGCATTTGTTGTCTCCTCTTCACTGATGTCACAACTATTCATCCTAGGCCTACATAAGAGTTTTCGCAAACTATCATATAAAACTACTAAAACTGAAAAATGTGGAAAGCAAAGACAAGTAAAAGAAATTCATGCCACTTTCTATGTGAAGAGAAACTTACAACCAATTGAGCAAACTGCACTGCCATTTCTTGGGAAGATGATCAGGATCAGTCCCATATGGCAAAAGGCGCCATTTTTGACATATATCACAACATACCCAATGCTCGTTGATAAAAACAGGAGGTTGAGGGGCAACAGTTGCACCCATAGCTGGGGCATTGTACGTTGACGACGGAGCAAGTATTTGTCCACTAACAAATGCTCCTGGGATCTGAGTTTTCTCGCTAACCGATGCTCCTGGGATCTGAGTTTTCTCGGCGTTTCTATCAATTGGCTTTTCATTAAAAATATGAGTAGACATTATGGGCTCCTTCTCGTGCTTAGCTTTTATGGCCTTCTGCTTACCCTTTGAACGAAAATCCAGTGAACCAACTCCGTTCTCCAACAGTTCAGTTTTGGCATCCCAGTTTACATATCCACTGGATTCTCTAATGCCAGCCCCACTCGAATCTGTACGTGAATTTAGAACTTTAGACTTCTTATCAGCATGGCCTACTTTTGCATGAGAAGTTTTCTTCTTTTCCTTTGGCATTGCAGATGAATTACCACTTATACTGTCCTTCAAATAGTTCCCAAATGATTCAGAATTAGCTTGACTTAACTTCACTTTCTTTTTACCATCAGATATTTGGTCCTTTCGTTGTAGTGTCTTCTCTTTGTATGGAGGAGAACTTGGTTTAACATGATCATCAGGTTCAGTTATTTGCTCATTCTTCCTTTTACTTCCACTCGAGTGGGTATTTGTCATAACAAAATATTTCTCAACTTTGCTTCTGCCTTCACTCTGCAAATTAGATTTCTCATCCTTATGATTATTCGTACTTTGTTCTTCAAAAGCCTTCTGTAACATGCTTGCTTTTGAATTATGTTGCTCATTTGAAAGCATCACTTCATTCCCTGAATTGCCAGCCGCATTATTTGTTGTACTTTCAAATAATTCAAAATGTTTATCATTCATCAAACCAGGAAAAGTTGATCCGTCCTTCAATGAGGCCTTCTTTGTTTCCCTCGAGTGATCTGACATATTAGTGTCATTCTTTGTTAGACTTCCAACTATTTGTTTTTCCCTTTTTTTGCCAGCATTCTTCGAGAAGGAGGACGATGACATATTCAATGAATTAGAAGCAAGTTCTTGTCTTACTTGGGTTTCAGTGTCAATTTCCCAACTCGTAGTCAAATCAGCTTTGCCTTCTGAACTCTTTATTTCCCTTGGCTTTGCTTTCTGCTTGGTAGACTTGCTATGATTCTCCATCTGACATTTTACTTCTGCTAAATGTAAAGTAAAGTCTGCAGACCCTGTACTCGTTTGAGGTAGTTCATGGTAGGACTTTCCCCCCTGGCATTGTTTAATAAAAGAACTGTCTTCTTCCGTCAACTGAAATAGACTATCTTGAAGAGGTGAGAGTAAAAAACCTCCAGGAACCATCAAACATGTCATGACCTGCTTGATTAATTCAAAATAGGAATTAGCAAACTAAGATTCAGAATAAAGATGACCAGCAAGAAATAGCATTTTACCTGGATAATAGTCTTGGGAGATTCATCAGGCATAACTTGAAATTCAGGAGAAATCCCTCCACTCCTACTAGGACTGTCCTCGGATGATGAAGATGGAGAAATATCAAGTCCTAGGCCACTATAGATTCTAGCCAAGTCGTTATCAGGACCCACTTTGATGCGAACTTTTAGTGTTTTGTGGTCGGTGCCACTAACTGTTTTCTTAAAGCCGTGCTGGGATGTGGGCTCCTGAATGTTTGGTTTATTGATAGACATGTCCCTTTTGCATGACTCATCAGATGGTGGCACAGCAACAGTGTTATTTTTGGGAAAAGATGAACTCATCATAACTGAAGGGTTCTGGTATGTAACCTGTACATATAAGGCGATAATTCAGAGAAGAACCCTTTCTACTGAAATACAATGAAATTTATTTAATTATTTGAGCCATGTGGTAGCAATCCTTGTGCATAATTCACTCTCGTCCCAATCAGTGCAATCCATGGACAAGGGCATTTTTTACATGGGAAGAAGCATGATAACAGCTCACCAGAATTCTCATACGGAGAATTGGATGTGAGGGTTAACAATAAAATTCCTTCAACCTGAGGATAGAATATCACATATATCACCTAAAACAATAAATGTACCTCGACTGACGGATTGTAGGGAGATTTTGTGACATTTTGGTTTGGAACTTTTTGTGGACTTTTAGTTTGACACAAAATAGAAGGAGAACGCTGATATGCAGGTAAGAACGAACCATATCCTCCAAATTTTGCGCCTGTAAATCAGTTAAATTCGAAATCATCAGTACCATAATTTGTATATTTATTATCCTGATGAAGACTATCATATTTGCCTGACCCAAATTCTCAGCAGAAACCCCAGCTTCAAAATCTTTCTGAAAATGACCCAGTACGTTCTGGATCTTTTCATCCTGAAAACAAAAATGTCAACACAATTAGTGGCAAGCATCAAAATCTCAGCTAAAACCAGTGTGCATAAAATACTAGTTTGCATGCTTCAAATTTGAAGCATTTTTTATGAATTCGATGATCATAGATATTACTGACATCCCACAACAAGAAAACCAGGGTTCTTCCACTTCAATGATTTCTGTGCAATCAAACGCAGAAACCTATTAGCTTATGGTGCAAACCGGTCGGCCGAACATCAACTTCTAGCGAGGTCATGATTTAAATTAACACTCCTTAAAGCAAAAAGAAATTATTCAAAATGAAAGAAACGTGAGATCTTTATAGACTCGGAGTATCAAAATTGTCCTTTTTCTCAAATAAGACATATCCATTTTAAAAAGTATCACATGATTCCGCTTTGTTCTCGAAATTAGAATCACGAAAGAACATCAACAAAGATATTTAGGATTCAATTGGCCACCAAATTGATAAGTTGGAAAGACAAAGATTGATAAAGCACGAAAGTGCCCATATCTAATACTAGTTTCACTCAAGTTCAATAAATGGCATATACTTTTAATCTCAAACATAGGAAAGCTCCAACAATTATTAAGAGGGCTTACGATGTAGGAGAGAGCGTCGGGGTCGATGCAGGAGTCGTCCTCCTGGCCGGAGTACGCCTCACCTTCCTCGAGCTCGTTCTCCCCCTCCATCCCCCCTCCCCCGAACCCTAGCCCCTTCCTCCCATCCCCCCTTCTCCCCACCGACAGCATCCAATCCACCCCTCCCCTCCCCGACCCCAACGCCGCCCCACTCTGTCCTCTCCCCCCTCCCCCTCTTCCCCACTTCGCACCAAAATCGGACAAAGGAGAACTCAAACCACCGAATCCCTCACCACACACCGCCAGCAGCGGCGCGCACCCCCACCCCCACCCCCGTGGGCCCAAACCCTAGAATCCCTCGCCGATCGAGGGGGGCAGCTGAATCGAGCGGCGATCGGCGCGGGGGAAGGCCCTCGGCAGTGCAATCTCGGAGATCGGGAATCGAAATCGCGGGAGGCGAGATCGGGGCCGGCGATCGCCACCACGAGCACTGCTTGCGGTGGTTGCTTTCGATCTCTCTTCGGCGTTCTTCGGAGAGAGAGAGAGGGGAGGGGGAGAGGAAAGGAAGGGGAAAATAATGAATAAAAATATATTAGGAATTCTTCTCTTTTTTACGCATATATACAACTTAGTTTATCTATCTATTTAAATATTAATATAATATATTAAAGAGAAATTGTTACGCCAAAAGACAAGCGTGAGAAAAATTAATAATAAATTAATAATAAATTAATAATAAATAATGAGGTGTTTTATTTATTTATTTTTCTTTTTCGCCCCCTCGTTAGGACCTAAATCTCAAGTTTGGTCCCTAAACAAACATTTCCAAAGCCTTCTAAGGACTACTGCTGCATTTTTAGGCCAAGCATAATAATTTTTGGAACCGCAAACACATAATTTTATTTATTTAATACAGTCATGAAAATGATGGCTGAAATATATAATTTCTGACGTCAATAAATAAGATGAGAACGAGAGCTAAATGAAGTAATTGAATTAGATATCGGCAACGATCGAACTAAATAGAGATGAAGAGTTGGCGTTAAACGTTCATTTCAACGAGTTGTAACGACGAGGAGTACGATTAGATGACTCGGATCGAATAAACACGAAGAGATGAAGCACATTCCTCCAAAAGGTACAACATGTTAAATAAATAAATATATATATATATAATTTAATGGGCAAACGATGAAATAAAGAGGTTTCTGTAAACCGGACGATGCCGGCGATTAGCTGTTGGAGAACCTACACAAATTCTACCAATCCATAGGTCCGGTAGACTGGGGTGCACGGGATTTACGAGTTAGAAGCTTCCACGTCATCACACGACGCTGTTCGATGCGAGGGAGTTCGCAGCCAACTCTTGCCCGCTTCCGACGTCGTGTCGCAAGGCAGTGAGCGGCGCTCTCCGAGAAAGTTCCCCCCCGCCGGGAACCTTATCGATTGACACGTGTTCCTTTCGATTCGGGACGATCTAGATTTGCCTCGCTCCTGTGGGTCCACTTGGAGTCTTCCACAGGCATCCCACGACTACACCACTCTTCGGGACCCACCAATTCGGAGAGGAGAGAGAATTAAAAGTTACATATTATATATTATATGTCGCGCTATAAAATAAGTGTATATATTAACTTTCATTAGTTAATATCATTCGAGTTAGTCTAAACCTAAAATAATATTAGTACTATTTTATAAAATAATCATGTTTATATATTTTAATATAATTAGTCTAGAAGTTGACTATGTATGCAAATCATGAAAATATGGAGTCTTATTATCGACTATTTAAGTATGAATAAATAGATATATTAATAATATCTAACATGAAACAAGACTATTATCGCATAAACAAAGAATATACATTATAGATTTCTATGTTTATCTTCTGACACATAAATTAATTAATTATCGTAAAAAGATAAAAGAGGGAGAAGAGAAAGAACTCGACATAAAGAAGGCATAGTTGTCAAATCATGATTGGATTGGTCAAATTATGAATTAGATGACCAATTGATTTGGTTCACTAATCAAATCATTCGGATGATCAAAAGACTAAATGGAATCATATCTATAGCTCTTGCATATAGTAGCTTGAATGTAATTTATTTAAAAGGTCCATTTACTGATCCATTTAAGTTTTTTTTTACACATTAAACTATATGTTAAACATAATATTATTTTATCTTTTTAATATAATTTAAGTCTTTATAATGTTTCTATTTTCAATTATTAAAAAATATTATGAATTCTCAAATATAGTATTTTTTATTTCATTTAATTATTTATAATATTTCTATTTTTAGTTATTAAAAAATCTTATGCATTAATCTCTATTCCAAATATAGTTGTAAAATTGAAAATGCATATTCTAAACTAGTGGTGTTTATTAATTAAACCATATGAATGTTTTAAATTTTTTATTAACTTCATATTTAAATTATCAAGGGTATTTAAGTCTTTTTTGTCACCACAAAAGAAAAGCACGTTCTATTACACTTACTTAGTTCTT